TCTTAAAACGCGCACGACATACAGAAATGTCAAAATATGTATATAACAAGTTAAAACAGTTTTAATTCTGCACTTTAACTGTTAAAAGTTTTAATTCTGCTTGTTATTTACACATTTCTGTGTCGCGCGCTTCTTGATCGTTATCGGCAAGTCACGTCGATAAATTAGAACTACTACTATGACCCAGCGAATCATTGCTCCTCAGTGTACATACTTTTTTTTCTACTTTGTCAAGCAGACGCCAGTATTTCCGTTAAATGAAATCTGTTTGATGTTGCTCGTTCAAGTGAATTACCAGTGGCAAAGCCATCCCGCTCTGTCGTCTCGGTCATAATCGTAATGATGTGACGATGTGACATTTCAGCAGCCAACAGAACGGAGCTGCCATCACAGCGATTACTCCACATGTGGACATCGCCGTCGCAACTCAGGATCGGCCGGGCACCTAGGAAAAAGACACAGCCTTAAGCTGCATCATCAGCTGCCGCGGCCGGTGAAAGATGGACAACACCGACGGATCCAGGAGGAAGCTCTCCTTCCTCGGTTTTGGCAAGCGGGTATCGGTAAGTGCTGCTGATCGACGAATCATCAATACGTAGCTCAAGTGACTTAGCCTCAGCGTGAAAGGCGCGAAAGAAGCTGAGGATAAATCGAAGGGAAACTCTAGGGTTGTATGCTCAAGCGTATCAGTGTTCTAACAGCGTGGCGTATCGTATCTAATAGCTGTACATACATACGTCGTCAAACAATATTCCATATCAGGATTGGTATGCACTTGGACCACTGCAATAAATGCATATCGCGTTACTTGTATGACATAATATCTTGTATATCTACGTACGGACGTGCGCGACCACCACAATTATTGCCAATTCTCGTTTCATCTAAAAATACTTCACAATCGATTGGTGTAAAATGTTGACACTACAGACACTTCTCGCGCGCCTGCCAAATACCTGTCCCTTTACCTCACCCCTCTATTACGGGTAAAACTTTTTTGTTCTTTTCAGGGGGTTGAAAAACGCTCCCTCGTTACCTAAATGTTCCCAACGAGCTCTCCCTGACCTAACGAACAAACCGATTAACGTGCGAAGATAACGCGAAATTATACAGCAATTGCAGTGCAGAGGGACCGGCGTCTCAAAAGCGATGCATTGTCTTTTATGTGCTCTGGCATAAAAGATACTGGCGACAAGACTAAATGGACAAATTCGATCGCGTTCGCCGCACGTGGTATCGTTCGAATTGTACGTAAGCAGATGTAATGGGGTTTCCGAATGAGTCACAAACAATTCGTGTCACACATTCGTGTGACGCGAAATGAGTTGTTACATATATGCGTGTGCACGTACGAGGGAGCAGAGACCCGCGCCGCGCGAAATGGCGTGCGAATTATCGCGTTTCATCGCGGTTGTCTCCCGACTCCGACATGGATTCGTAAAAGCGGCACGACCTCGAGCAGGACTGATTGGCCTGATTGTTGACGGTCACGGGTCAATAACCATTTGACACCGTGTGCGGCAAGCACGGGTAGCACGACACGAGCTAGAAACGCGAAACGGCACAGCGGCACGTGACTTCGATCGGAAGGAAAGTTGCTGAGACTTCCACGCTAAACCGCTACATTGCAGCTCGTACTTGCAGGTCTTTACGATGCTAGAGAGAGAGATGTAAATTTCGTGGCAAGAACCGATCGGATAACGTCAACGTGACGCCGCATTACCGTAACCGTAACCGCGGCGCTACACGTATAGTTGTATTAGAGACCCTGTAATCAGAGACTGGCCACAATAGTTGGTCAAAAGAGTGAGATAGATATTTGACGAACTCCTATGGCCAGTCTCTGATTGCGGGGTCTCCAAGTTGTATAAGCTCGAGGAATCCGCGCTTAACCCTGCGAATGTGATCATCGTCAATGGTCGCGTTAGCGTCAAACCGATCGCAAACTTCGGATTTTTAGTCAACGATCCCGATCTACGATTCCTTCCTTTGTGAAACGTTATCAAAATCGTTTCCAATGAGGTTCCAGTGAGTCCCAGTGCGATACTGGTTTTTCAATTCGTGAAAGGCCGCGATTAGTTTCGTCCTGCTGACCTGAATCGAGCGATCGAACAGCCAAGTGTTGCCCCTCTTTCGCCCTTACGAGGCAGGAAGTCGCCTAATAGAAACGCAAATTGGACGAAGTGTCCGGAAATTCGATTCAACGTGTCCTCTTTTTCCCCAGCTCTTCTTTCTTTTTAGATGTAACTGTAATCTGAGAGTGAATGACGGAAGGACGAATTCCGGAAATAGATTTGCTTCACTCGGTACTTGTCCGTCACAGCCTTGTCTCGTCTCGTCTCGTCTCGCCTCGCCTCGTCTTGCGTTGCGCGGGGTTTAAAACATTAACGAGCTCGCCGACGTGCCATTCAAGCGCTTACGCAAGGTCGGAAGCCGCAAATTCGATTATCAAGAGCGGTGTCAATCGTATCCTCGCTTTCATACAGCTCGATCGCCGCTGGCATTGTCAGTTTACAGGTGGCTCGTTTATGTGGGAGCGCGCTGGTCCGTAAGAGAGATTCCCTCTATGTTCACGACAATCCCGAAGGTAGGGGCCACTTTCCGTAATAACGTATAGCCATGAGACGCGCTTCCCATTTGTTACTTTCCGCTCAGCGCGACAAAAAGACCGTCCAGTTTATTATGCAATTGCATTTCTACCACAAGTTTCGTTTATCGATTTATCTTACCGAGTCGACCGAGTCTTCGGACAACTTGGAAACTATGCTATCCAGGTGTAACTCGTCGTGGCGTCTCGCAGCACTTTTGCACGGGCAATTTCTTTAGCTAACAAATTGTTTGACTCTGTCGTACTTCGTATAATACTTGCGGTATTGTAGTAGGTAGGATATATGGAATATTCAGTTGCGCTGTGTGTTCCTGCAACATGATAGCTGAGGCTTTAAAGCACTAGCGTCTAGAACGAGACCTGTTATAGATGAAAGATTTAAGGTTCGTGCTCTTCTCCTTCATCTCAATCGCTCGCGTATTCCCTCGCGGTCAGTCGCCCTTCGTTTCCTAGTCAAGTTCAAGGTCGGATGTTCATTTAACTCGCCGCGCAGGGTTGGCCGCGCCGGCCTCAGACATGCTCACGGGTGCGGAAGGCTGCGAAATCGCGTGCGCCATAAAGTTGAAGAAAACCAATCGCGTAAGCTTAATCCCTCGAGAGATGCCCGACAATTTAATGTGATAAGAATTTAACTGTAATGAACGTCAATTGCAAATTAATTCTATAAACCTTTTATGTGTAACGTAAGCAATAAATTTCCTCGATTTTTAATGAACACACACTCTTAGCTTACTAACGAATAAGTTATTGCATCTATGCCGATGTAAAATTTGGCGAAATAATTCATTAATTTAGTAATTGAAAAATATCACGGAGGAATGAAAGGTTCGAGTATTGGCAGCTCTTCGCGAAAGCCGAACAGCATCCGGACGTCCACCTTTCTTTCATGTTTTTCAAACGTTTCGCAGACGAGATGTAATATTAATTAAAACACGCAAGAATATCGAAACGCGTGTTCTCTCGCTCTCGTTTTTGTTTTACGTCCAGGATTTAATCGTTGATTGTAGAAACGATAGATAAGGAACGATCGTCGGCAGAAAGCGAAACCTTTTATTCGTTAAATACTAAGCTCTCCATCGATTTTCCCTGTCGGCATTTGGGAGGAAAGGTCATTGCTGGTGGAATAAACTGGGTGGGGAAGCTGTGGTTCAGGTTCAAGGTCGGTTGGAGCAGGAAGCGACAAGCGCACGTCAAGCGGAGAAATGGGAAGACGCGGTCGATGATGGAAAAGCTTATTCTCACTCGTCTCTGATATCTCTCACGCGGTCGTAGGTGGTGGTGATGTAACGTAAAATACAAACAAAACATTGACGATCCATTCCGCGGAATTACCCCGATAGGAAAATATTTAGAGAATTGTGTGGCGAAGTCTGGATGAAACTTGGAATGCTGGAATTATGCGTACACATTTCGAATAACATATGCAGAAATAGAGACCTTTCGTTAAATATTGATAAATATTTGCACAATGTATTTCTAAATGGTATGTCAGCAAAACAGCTGCGTTTTGGCGAATCACGCGAATTGCCGTCGTGTTACGACGAGCTGCCGCTACGAGGCGTCTCACACTCGTAAGTATGTATAATAAAATTCAGACGAGATAAAAGCAGGCTCAGCGTTAAACACGTCCCGGGCTAAATCTGGTTTAAACATTTATTACACGTAACTGTGTTGCTGGGTAATTTTGCTTCTAAATGTCGAAAATAATCGTGCACGATTTATCCCCTAAATTGAGATTATCAATTTTTGGGCAAATACCATTTAGAAATATTATTCCTGCAAAACCGCTGCGTTTTGGCGAGTCACCTTGATACAATCATTGTGAAATTTCCTTCTTTTGGATGATGCAATTATTATATAATATTCGAGACATTTTCCTATCGGGGTAGCCGTTTACGATGGTCGGTGAGGGACTACGAATGTTGTTCACCTGTACGGATAATGGATTTTTTTCTTTTGCAATCTGTCAGTCGGGATGGAAGACATAAGACGATTACGTGTAAAATATCTAGTAGGAAACTATACTATTTAGAACAATATGACATTATCGCGCTTCTCTACCAGCAATGATCGATAACACCTCTATGACCTAGGCCTAGCCGAGGTCGATCCGCAATTCTCATTTTACCCCGTCACTTCTACCACCTACCATTCAACACCATCAGCTGAGCTTTCCCATCTGCGGAGATCCCTCCCCCCTAACACGAGTATTTTTTTTCTTTCTTTCTTCATTGCTCTCGAGGTCTATTCCACTCGAGCCCTTGTATCCCAGATTTCACGGTCGATTGACACTTGTTGCGCTCGCTAGCCTTTGTCAATCATCTGCGCAGTCTTTCCGTGGCACATTTGATTCCAGATACCCCGAAAGACCGACAGATATACCTCTCTTTTTTTTTAAGGAAGATCAGATCGAAACGGAGAATAGTTGTTTGCCGAAACGCATCAGCCGTTGATTCGTCTGCTGCAATTCTCCGGTCGGTTCTCGTCTCATTTTGTCGTAAATTAATAATGTGTAGAATCAATGGCATTATTAGCAAAGTGTCTGGGAGGTTGTTGCTACCGACATTCCCTTTGTCTAGAATCTTTACAAAAGATCTTCGTAAAAGCTCTAGCGGTCTTTTTGTGTATCAGAAGATTAACTGAAATTGTCAGAAGCGGTACGCTCAAAGGTATACGACCATTAACTAGGAAATTAGTTTACACGAAGGGAAATTGAAAATCCTGATTTAAGATCCTGATAAATGAGTAGGAGGCATGAGTAGGAGGGAGAGCTGGACGGGGGAGGAAAAAGAAGAATGAAGGTATTGCTCCTCGATTGAGTGTATGGGGTTGATATCGATCCACCCCTTCCACGGATTGTCGCGCGTTCCCCACCAGCCTTCCCCTCTTTCTCTCTTCCCGGCCCGGCGGGCGCCACCCTCCGCCCTCAGTTTGGAATCCTCCAGCTCTCAGCGCCGACCGGCCGGGTTGTCACTCGGCCCGGGATGCCATGCCCGAGGCCACCGCCGGTTCCTCCGGGAAGTCGTTCCTGCAGCGGGCGCGGGGCAAAGTTCTCCGCTGGCTACGACGCTCCCTGCGGACGACGCACCAGGTGAACGCGCTGTCTCCCGTTCCTCGAAAGGCCGGTCACCCCAATCCCTTTCGCGCTCGCGATTTGCATGACCGAATAAATCTATCCTAGGAGAAGGCGAAATCTTCGTATATCTCTCATCGTTCTCTTCCAGCTGTTCTCGAAATATCCTTCGCGCTTTGTGTGATTATTGTTCAGTGAAGTACAATGAAATTTCTTAATTTCTGTGACGCTAGCCATGTGCATCAATCCGTAGATTTCACAAAGTTTTAAATCTATAGCAATTCTCCTTGTTAAAAACTAAAACTTGGAATCGATTAATCAGATTTTAGTACGGTTTGCTAAACTCAAAGATTTCAAACTACTCTTCCAATACTTGTTGAGAAAAAGAGAGGTATTGCAGATATCTCTCGAACGTTTCCGTAATTGGTATCAACAAAATACAAGTAGAACAATGTATAGGACGTCATTTAAAATGTATTATATTATCCACAAGATGTGTAGTCTCCAACGCTATTTCATTTCTTTCTATTTTTACACATCTCATTAATTCCTTGTCACGAAAATCACGAGTCGAATCATAGATTAACTGAGCAGATGTTAACATAGAAAGACACTGAACACGTAACGATATTTACTGCAAAGCGACTCTGATTTATTTTTACTTATCGTAATGAAAGATGTACATTTTTCCTGTACATCTGTACATCGACGTGTGAAGACAGCGTAGAAAGAAAGTCTACTCGTAAAACTCTCCAACGTAATCTTGTCACAAAATTAGAGCACTGGTCGTACCGCGTAATGAAACAGCTATATTTTTCAGTTTAGCTCTACCAAGTTCTTGGGCGAGCAATTGGTAGAAAAGAATTTCGCAAATGACTGCGAAACGTTCCTTTTGATGGTCGTACCAGATGACGTGCTAGATTAATTCGATATTGTTTCAAAATTTGTTAGTGCAACGCATAATGGAAAAGTTTTCGGTGTGTTTTCATATTTTTCTTAATACTATAAAACGACCAACGGTATATTTTTATGGCGCTTGAAAGTTGAAATTTGTGTCGAGAACACCAGCGTAATTTTTTTCTGCGGTAAAAAGCTCTACAACTCAAACTTTATCGGAAAAAAAAACATATTCATTTCTGTGCGTCACAAAACCACCGTGATACACAGCAGGACGATTTTGACAATGTATTACGGAGTGTAGGATCGATTCTCAATGGCTCTTTGACTATTACGAGTAAATGTTGTGTGCCTGACCCGAACAGGCACGTTAACAGCATATTTGAAGCCTGTGTGAAAACTCGATGAGGATGAACTTGAAAGCGAATTTCCATTTTGAAACAAGGTTACTAATAAAATTCTCCATGACTGAGGCATCGTAATTAATTGTACACTATGTAATCTTTTTTGCAAGTAACAGTATTCTAGAAATACAGTATTTTTTCACAATACGATATAAACCCGAAATTAGTAAATTATAATTCCTTTAGCCAATCATAATTGATGTTTACGGGAATATTAAGTGATATTCAGTAATCTTTTGTAGGAATAAATTTTTGAAATTTATGCTTAAAATATCTCTTTGCACATTTTTCATGTATGTAGGAGGCATGAAAAATCAAAGTGTATATTGTATAATCAGAATGTTACTCTGTCGCCAATATTCTTGTGGTATTATCTTACAATCAGCCTTCTAAAATAATTCGATAATACGTATTTCTCTCCAGAATAACGCTAATAACATAGCTGGCACTTGTGAGGATATGTTGCTCTCTGTAGAAATCGATATCTGTATCCTGAATTGCATAGGTAGAGTAGCCTGGGGCGATTAATGCACTTATCTAGCTGTTACGTACCGAGGATGCCCTAAAAAAGATCTTTCACGATCCTTCTCTCGAGAGAAGTCTTTACGCAGTGGAAGTTTCGCAAAGAAAATTAAAGTAATCTTCATACCGAGTTCTATACATCGATATTGTATGTCTGTTTTTCTGTGACACAATGCAATATTGATTACAGCGATTAATGTGTCATATAATGCAAACGTTAATGTACATTTTTATTTGCCACTTCAGGTCGACGGGCATGCCGCGGAAACGGGGCCGGAGCTCGACGAGGAGATGGAGAAGGTGTTTGCGATGGATGCCGGAGAAAAATTCGACGTAGCCCGACTTGGATCGCCCTCGGAATCGGCTGGATCTGATAGAGATCGCGATCGCGGACCACCCCCGCGATATGGCGGCGATCATGATTTCAATCGTAAGTCGTATTGTCGCTTTTCAACGTTGTTTGTTCTCGACGTCGTCTCATCGAGGAAATAATAAGAATGACATTTCTCACATTAGAATACCGTAAAAGAAGCTACCCACATCCGCATATGCCTCTAAAGAGCCTGCATTCCAGATCTATGCGACGACATCTTTCACCGTAAGTTACTCGATAAAGGCAGACTCAATTCCGTAGTTTGCTCGGATACTTTGTCGATCCTTGAAATCTTGTGCGAATCATCATTCGAGAGTTCAATATCTCTTCTGTAACAAATGCCACGTATGTGTGGACGATCAAGCTTGTGCATGCTTCTTGACGAACCTTGAAACTGATACGCACTTATTGTATCTTCTAATAACTCAAAGAGATAATTGTGCAAAATTCTTTGAGCTTCGAGCGAAACAGATCCAATTGAAAAATCCGATAGAGGAAAAACCTCTTTTTATTGGGAAACTAAAAGCAGAAAAGATACACTTTACATTTGTTCAATATCCTTAGCGAAGGCTCGGCGACGGACGTGTTCACTGAGGAGGACCATAGCAATGCTCATGCAAGAAATAACGAGGTCCAGGAGGTCGACGGGATGAACCGTAATGGATTACAATCGATCGTCACAGCCGAGGCCGAGGCCGAAATCGATGAAGAACCGGAAGATATCGACAATGTGGGCAGCAGCGAGAGCGAAGCGCCGATTTCGGAGAGGGCAGCTTCTGGTTTCAGCGACAGCCCGACCATCGGCAGTCCGAGGGTACAATTTGAGAAGATCAAGGAAGAAGATGCATTGAGCACGCAAACACCGGAAATGCTAACGGGTACCATTCCGAGTGGCCACGAGGAAGATCGGAATCGCCGACGGCACCAGAAGCACGAACATAAGTAAGTTGAATCGATATGATGGTTTGTAAAGAGATAAGAGAGTGGCAGAGATAAGAGAGAAGAAAAGAAGAAATCACGCGAACTCTCTCAATTAACACATTTAGTGTCAAACGGGAACTTTTTTCCGATTACTAAAATAATATCTTGATGAAAATACGGGGTCAAAGTAACTCTAATTTGAATATCGTGTCTGCATATATTACGTGCACGGATCCTCGATATTTTAAGGGCGAAAGTTTAAATCTGGCGGTCGCATTTCATGTCACAATTTTGCGGACTCATATTTGCACTGTATAAACCGCGCAATTATGAGCACGAAACGACCGACCTTTCTTTCGTACCATTCCGAGCGATGAGCTAGATTCAGCAGCGTGACAATTCCGGTACGGAGCGGTACCGAGTCAACCCTAGTTGGTTCAAGATTTGAGGGTGGGGTGTGCTAAAAAAATGTATGTGTACATCAGCGACTTAATTAAATGCTGGCCGTCCAGATTGCCTAAAGGTACCCATACACATTCCGGAAATCCTCTGAGAAAAAACTGTGCAGTCTTTAAGATTGCCTAAAGGTACCCATACACGTTCCGGAAACTGCCCCCTTTTTTATAGCCATTCTTTGGACCATATTTTTCTGACACGTTTTTTCTTGCGATTTCTATTCAGAATGCACTGTCTTGCCAATACAAAACCAACAAGAGCCAAACTATCGTCCGTCGCGTCCAGTGCTCACTAGCAAACTGAAAGTTATTTCGGAGCGTGTGTGCGCGAGGGTTCGTTCAGGCAATCCCGAAGGCCAGGACTGCACAGTTTTTCCTCAGAGGA